ATGTTCTCACAGAAATGCCCCTTTTTAAGTCCAGATTGAAGGGGAACACCAGTTCTTTTACATTGGGCTCGTTGATTTCACGTTATGACATCATGTTCTACTCACCCATATTAGTTTAGTGTCATTTGGAGCCGTTCTGAAGATATTCCGTTAGGTTATATCCAGTAACGTCTTCCTACGGGCAACGGCTTGAAGGCACAAACTAAACTGTTCATCATTTATTCTTTATGGTACGCCAGCATTCAGAACATCAGATCTTAATAAAAATAAACTGAATTATTTGTCACCTTGTTAAATAGCAGAGCTCAGTCTGTCTTAGAAGACTTTCCTTCTAGACTGACAATGACCGTTTTCTAGTTTAGATCACCAATGAAATGTCAAATAATAGCAAATATGTTTAATAATATGTTAAGAGATTTAATCCTTAAGAAACAGGTGAGATAAAGTTTGTCCAAGTGGAGTTGCCATATAATGACATCATAAGAAGGGGCGGGACCCAGAGCAGATCTGGTACCTACACCCCCCCTCCACCTTCAACCAGGGCGCCTTCCCCAGCTGCCAGTGAGACATCATGGGGGTGACGTTTGATGGTTAAGGGTTAGTGCTTAGGGAATGGTTTGGGATTCAGCCACACAGAGCTGCGCTGTGCCAGTCTAGAGGTAATCAAAGCGTTTATTCACCTCTTACAGCCACAGCAGCGAGGGTTTGATTTAACCAACTGGATTACTAAACTCATTCCTTTATAGAAAACCTCCAAGATCCAACAGCAGAACAAGCAAAGACCTCAAAGGATCGATAGCATCAGCAGAGCCCATCGGTCGTCCTGACAACCATCCGCTCTGCTTCCCATTTGGATGGAAGATGTCCATCCAGGTTTCTGCAGCTACGTTTCCATGAACATCACCAGAATAAGCTAATGGACTAAAGTCGGTTCTGTTGGAATATTCTGATTGGATTCAGCAGAATCGGAATGAAACTGTAATCTAGCAGAGAGGTGGGTTATGCTGACTGGCATGCATGTAAACGCACCATAAAGTTCATCCAAAACAGGCCTGCTGACCTCCCTGGGCTTTTATTTCCTCCCTGATGTTATCAGAATATCACATTCCCATCAGCCCCACCACACCTTTTAGGTCCGACTGGCCGTTTTAATCAGAGCGACTATGTCTATATGAACCAACCGTGAAACTTTGTGCAAAGAATGTAAAACATTCACCAGATTCTGTTCTGATTGGCTTCAGTTTGAGCTTTTTAAAACCTTGCTTCCCTCTGGCACTTTGAGGGTCGGCTTAACTGTAAAGTTTTATTATTTCTCAAAATCAATCCCAAATATCATTAAAACAATAAAAAGACACTTAACTTCCTAAATATAAATCTCAAAGGAAGCAGATACGGGGTCGAAATTAGACGACCAAAGGAATTCAGTTCAATTCAGTTTATATTTATTCATTTCTAAAGCACATCATGTCATCTCAAGGCACTTTCCAGTTCACCAGAT